TCCGTCTAAATATGAACACGTGTAAGAATAATTATTTAGAAAAAGATGAAGAATTTATAGTAAAAATTGACTGCAAAGCAACAAGAAGCAAAGAATTTACGGTAGTTAAATAGTGAGTTAGCAATCAGAATCTGATTAATATTTCAAATTATTTAAACCTGTTAAAGAATATTTCTGAGAGATTTTTGGCTTATATTGCTCAAATGTTATAAAAAGAAACTAATTTTTGCTTGGAAATACATAAATAAGTAGATTAACTTGAAGGAAAGTCAAGGCTGCTTGACTTATGATATGTAAATTTTAAATGGACAAAGTAATCTAGAAGAAGCTCTTACCACTCGGAATATCCTGTTTATTTGCAAAAATCAAAATGATAGCGTCGTTCATTTCCCTATCGCACGCAATACGATGAAGTTCTTGGCGAGCCTCAACAATCCTATCTCTGTCTGCACTATCAACAACAAATATAAGACCCTGAGTGCCTGTATAGTAATGACGCCAGAGGGGTCGTATCTTCTCTTGACCTCCGACATCCTACAGGGGAAATAAAAAATTAAAGAACCATGTACCCAGACATTAAATTTGATGTTCTTATATTGGACAGTTTCGACATTAAAGCCAACAGTTGGAATGGTGGTAACGGAGGAGCCCAATTTAAGCCTATACAGAATTGCTTGAAAAATACAGCCTAAATTGAGAGATTTACTAGTCTTGCCAGCCGCATCCAAACCAAGCATCAGTATTCGCATCTCCCTGCTGCCAAACAGTTTGGAGAGAAGCTTCCCCATTATTCGTCATAAGATCCAATAAATATAGTAAAGTGTTCTCAAAAAAACAAATATAAAAACATGAAAAAGATACGAGAAAAGAGACGAAGAGATAAGAAAATCAATCTAGAGGAATTTGAGGAGTGCCAAGAAGGATGAATTATGACAAACAAGTGTCGTTAAATTATATTGATTCCAAAGTAGCTAGACCTTGTTATTCCCAAAGAATTCTTTGTTCAATGAATAAATTTATATAGTTAATTTGTCTACTTAAAGAATTATTAGGTTATTACTTTATTGGATTTTCCTCAGTCTGATGAAAATGGAAATCTTCAAAAATGACTAAGTTCTAAGTATTTATTATACACCTGCAAGATTGCGCTTAACGCGTATTTTATTATTTTGTTTTTAAATTTTTTCTGTTAGTTGTAGAATAACTTCTATCTTCTATCGGAATCCTTACATAATAAGTTAATTTGAAGTATATATACCCATACTAGTTCATTTTAACGAAAGGCAATTGTTATAGTGTCAAGCAGTAAAATATTATGTAGAGATCTGGCTATTTATAGTCTTATGATTTTCTTTATATTTATCAACTGACTAATATTATAACCAAGCATATATGTGGTTTTTCACTTACTCAATCCATGGTATATATAATACCTTAACTGGTGAAGTGTAAAAATCTTTCTAACTCAGGCATATTAATTTCTACAAAACAAGCCATACTTAGTCAAATAAACAAAATATAGCTCTTATTTTTGTGAATTGCATTTCTATTAGAATATAGGTTAATGATTAAAATATAGTATAACGTGGTTTTATGTTTATAATTGTTATTTCTTAGTAGATCAAAACATGATGCATATATATATATATATATATATATATATGAAGATAAAGATAGTGTGTCCTCAG